ATCACAATTTTTGAACAATAATTTTTATTTCTTCACAGTAATTTTTATTTTCCCATTGTGCGCCAATTGAGAATGAGTTGATAAGCGAAATGGATATTAGTGAAATAATAAAGCAACTTTTTAAGATTTAATATTTATCTGATTATCCTCCGTTTTCTTCGGTTTAAAAGATTCATATTATATTTATATCTATAGTTCTTTTACTTTTTGAGCGAATTTCTCAATACCGTTTTTGCACTATAATTGAAAATGTACTATCGCTCCTTGTCTGGCACATATTAAAAGTACTAACTTCAAATGCAATTATCTTTTGAACATGCCTGGTTACTTTCCCTTAAAATAATACGTATAGAGAATATCGTTATCTTTAAATAGTAAAAGCTTCAAACAAATCTTAAGAAAAGTCATTTTGCGATACAACCACTTTAAAACGAGAGTATAAATGACAGAAGAATCATATTCGCCAGTGAATTTTCAACGCCAGTGAAAAAGAGGAGACGACGTGAATATACGGATACGGAAAAACGTGAAAAGTACGTGCCGCGTAAGCGAGTCCCTATTGACGTCAATCTTTTTTGGTTTATCGACCAAAATTCCGAACAAGACAACGAATTCACGGGAATATGCGGCGGGAATATTACGGATCCTGTTGTGCGTGTGCGAGGAGTTACGTCAGTTATTTTAGCGTTATTTTTCGCCGCGAGAAATCGATGTTAAAGACATTACAGACATCCTCACCGTCGTCGTCGTCGTCGTCGTCGTCGTCGTCGCATCGTCGCGTATGGCAGTTGGTTGAAAATCGACGAAAAAACGAGAAAAAGCAAGCGTGATCGACGAGAGAGAAGAGAAGAAGCGTTCTCGCGAGAGTCGAGAGGGACGATCGATGAATATGGAACGGAAAAAAAAAAAATTTCGCGAGCAGGAATAAGAATCTACGAAAATGTTGGCGAGCGATTCAGCATCGTGTAGACACGCGCACAGCGTCACCAAGACACGCATAGTTTCTGCGAGTTCCAGGCACCGACGTAGATTCAATTTGATGCTAATACTTGCAGATGATATACCACAAAGGTATCAGGCCACTGATGAAAGTTAAACAGCTGGTGCGCGGGAGCGAATGGCAAAGTGGTATTACAACAACTTTCGTGCTCCGGCAAAGTATGCGTACAAACGGCGAATAATGCGCATCATATATATGTATATGTGACAATTTTCCTCATTCTCCCTTTTTTCGAACAATATTATTGCGCAATTATTTATTCAAATATGACACGTTTTATTTAATCTTTATTTAATCAAAGTTCGTTACGGTGGTTTTGTAACATATATATA